CCTAGTAGTTTCTTGTTACTACTAGTAAGGCACTTGTTACTAGTAGCGTGGCACTTGTTCCTAGTAGTTTCTTGTTACTACTAGTAAGGCACTTGTTACTAGTAGCTTCCTACCCCCACCTAAAAAGAAAACATTGCATATGGTCTTGAGACGGTGACGCCGGTCATCGGCTGACGTCAGAATTCGGGACCAAACCTCGGAAACATATGTGTGTTATTCATCGCTATCATGTCATCGGCGCTCGAATTGATCGTGTGTGCTGCTGTAAAATTGATTAAAAATACTACAAAAGCATAGAAACCGATGAAGCATCACCAGCATCAACTCTCTCTACTCTGGTGAGAGCAGCTTGACGTCATGACCACTCTTTCATAGTCCTGCCACGTGCTCACCACCCTCCACCGTGATCACCGTGATCGCGCCCGGGCGCCTCTGCGGCCTCCGAAGCGACCGGGCGCCTCCGCGTGGATCGACACGGGCCACTCGACACGTGGCGGCACTAACGAGAAAGAGAAGGGAACACGTCCAAAAACAGGTCCAGTCTGGGCTCATTTGAGTAGTGAGTAGCGTATGACCTAGATCAATTGAAATGAGGTCAGTTCCTGAGCTTTTGGTAGGGACACCAGGTTCTAGTGTGTGCGGTCCTGATTTTGTGTTTTTTCCCGCGGGACCGGAATGAGGTGATGGGGACGACGGCTCTTCGTCAAGAAGAAACAAGTGGCCGATGAGGACGAACCTACAAAAAAGGTCAAGGTCGAAAACCTGAGATTCCTCTGACTCAGAGATCCCAACCAAAGCAGGTTCACACGGTCGGACTTGCAGAAGTGAGGAGCACGGTGGCTCCGACATGACGAGCCAGCCGGTCAGACCCAACCGGACGACACGGTCGGACTCCCAACGGGGTGTGCGGCGCACCGTACGGCACGGCACGGCCCGTCAGGGAACCCAAACACGACCTGTCTGGGAACTGGAAGAGGAAACAAGTCCAGGTCCTGGATCCAAACTTGAAAACTGAAAAGCTGAACCTTGAGTGGTGTGAACTTGTATGACGAAGTCCAGTATTTCATGAGGGCTTCGAACCGGTTTGCACCGGACCGGACCCATCCGCTCCTGGACCTCTACGGAAAACGGTTTTGGGATGAAACACACCGACTGCGCGTTCTTGGGCGTTTTGTGAGACAGGAGTCAGTTCCGCGGTTCTCCTGCCTGGGCAACCTGCAAAGAAAGCTCACCAGGCCGTTCTGATTCACCTCTTCAGGGCCTCCAATGCCTACCTCACCCAACTCCGGACCCCCAGAGTTCCGGGTGTCCGTACCGAAGCGTCCGCTTCACTGGCGGGGTGACACGGATTGCGAGTGATCGGGCGAACGGCAATGGAAAATGACCTTCAGAACGGCATTCGACTCCAGGACATCTGCAGCTGTCTGCAGATTGAAATAAAACGGGAGTCAACTGCTGGGACTCTGGCCAAGTAAGAGTCCGAACACAGGGACTCTCACGAAGCCACTTTAGGGCGATGTGGAGACTGTGGAGAGAGCCATTACGAAACTTGTGCTTCCAGGTCGTTCCATGACCAAAATCTCACATCACATTGCAACACTTGTGCTCGTGAGACCTGGGTAAGCCTTGCACCGAAGAACTGCAATTCCGCCCTATCCCCAACGTGAGTCAGGGAGTCTGGGACTGTCAAGTTCACCAAAGCATTGCAACCCTCAAAGGCATTGCGCCCAATGTGGGTAACTGAGTCTGGGATGGTCAAGTCTACCAAAGAGCAGCACCTCTCGAAAGCAGAATCCCCAATGTGGGTCACCGACCTTGGGATGGTCAAGCTTGCTAAGGACAAAGACACGATCTGCAATGTGGGTCACTGAGTCCGGGATGGTCAAGTTCAACAAAGAACTGCAATTCCCAAATGCAGTATCCCCAATGTACGTCACAGAGTTCGGTATGGTCAAGTTCACCAAAGCATTGCAACCATCAAAGGCACAACGCCCAATGTGGGTAACAGAGCCTGGGATGGTCAAGCTTGTGAAAAAAAGAACTGCAACCCTCGCAGGCAAAACTTTCGATGTGGGTCAGTGAGTTCGGGATAGTCAATTTCGTCAAAGAGCTGCAACCCTGAAGGGCACCACTCTCAATGTGGGTCACAGAGTCTGAAATTGTAAAGCTCGGCCAAGAGCTGCAAAGTTGAAAGGCAAAATTCCCAATGTGGGTCGCTGAGTTCGGGACGGCCAAGCTTTGCAAAGAGCTGCAACACTCAAAGGCTGCATGATGAATGTGGGTCACCGACTCTGGGATGGTGAAGCTCGCTAAAGAAATGCACTTCTCAAAGGCCTGCTGCTCAATGTGAGTCACTGAGTCTGGTATGGTTAAATTGGTCAAGGCTGTGCAACCCTGGAAGGCATTTTCCGAAATGCATGTCATCGAGGTGCAAGATGTGCAAGGTTCCCCAAAGAGCTGCAGTTTTTAAAGGCACCCTCCCCAATCTCCATCACAGAGTCCGGAATCTTCAACTTCGTCAAAGACGTGCAACTCCCAAAGGCACCGAATCCAACGTGCGTCCACAACTCATTCGGGATGACCACTTCGGCCACCAGATCGCAGTCTTGGAAGGCATGAGCGTCAATTCGAGCTTCACCGGGATGTCCACCAGCAAAAGTCCCAAGTCTGGGAGATCGCATCTTTGTGGGAGCAAAAGTCACGGTGTTTCTTTTGAAAACGACACTCACAGATCACCTTCTCGTCATCTCCCAGCAACCTGTCCCCAACGACCATCTCGACGCCAGTCGCTCAAGTGAACTCGTCCCAGGTTCGCTTCCTTTCGAAATGATCAACTTCAGCTCGAACTTCGTAACAAGGTGCCACGCTAGTAGTAACAGGTGCCTTACTAGTAGTAACAAGAAGCTAGATTAAATTAGATTTAATTTAATTCTAAATTCCTTTCGCTCATTTCGCCCCTTTGCCTGCAGCCCACCGTCTCATCGCCATGGAGGAAACCATGTTCGATCGGACCAGACTTGGTGCGGTCGCGTTCGATCGAGTACCGTTGATCGATCCTTCAACGATCCATGCGCCATCCTCTACCTTTGGATGCTGGCGCCAAATGACTGTCTTTCTGCAAAATTAAATCCTAGAGTCGAAGTGGGGGGTTACAATGGATTTATTCCCCTATTGAAATTGATCTCCGCGTCTTCGAAAATACTGCTTTTTCAGTGCGCTAGCCGCTAGCCACGGTGGGGGCTTGGCGCTAAATCGCAGCTGCGAGGGTTCGCAGGCGGACGAGTCTGCATGTTCAGCATAGCTGGACCTTCCGAATGAAAGGGGTGTCCTGTCTATCCAGTTGGGCTGGGGCGGCTTCCGAGAGACCCAGTGCCGGGTGGAGCTATGAATTGGTAGCGACCCCGACCCCACCACAAGTCTTGCACCGAAAAGAGCCAGCCTTCACCGAGAGTGATGCCATGCAAAGCCTGCAGCTCCTGGAAGGTCCAGCCGAAGGTTCCCCACGCAGACCAGACGAATGGGACCGGAATCGTTACATACATTTATACCCACCCCATGAAGAGGACCCTAACCAGGACCAAAACCCGGTAGCGTATGAATTTTTGGGACACCCCGAATCTATCACCTCTGGCGATGGAAATGGATCTTCCAACTATGCCAACTTTCTGCCTAACTTGGCTGGTTTTTATTGATGAAAAGGCATAAGCTTGTCACATGTTGGAAGATCCAGCTATGGCACCTCCAAATCCAACAAGCAACATCTGCGCGGCACGAAACACCCAGCGCGCAACCGCCGCAACCGCCCCGAACACCGCACCCCTTCGGGACCAAAAAACACCACACCGAACCAACACCAAGCGACAAGCGACGTCGCTCCGAGCGACAAGGAGACGAGGTGTCCGACCAGTTGCCATTTTTTGGGGGTAACAGAGAGTGTTCAGATAGTCGAATTGCCGGGGGAGACTCACGTAGTGCACTCCTCCGTGTCGCTCCAACCAAGGGGGTCAAAGGATGTCAAGACGTGGAACCGGAAGTCCCCGGAAGTGAGGAACAAGGCCCCTCAGAAAGCCACACCGAGGTGTCCGAGGTCGTGAAACCCGCCTTGGAGGGCTTGCACAGCGGGGGAAGTGGAGGGTTCGGGGTCCAGGTGGTTCGGGTGATGCACCCGACTCGTGGGAGTCCAAACATCGGGTGGAAATGGAGATGACTAGTAGCAACGTTCGCTACTAGGAACAAGTGTAAGTGCATCGCTTCTAGTAACAAGTGCCTTACTAGTAGACTAGTAGTAACAAGGACGCCATTAGAAACAAGAAGCTATTGGTGACACTTGAAAAAACAGGCTGGGAAGATCCGAAGCCTCTCTTCTAAGGAGGTGCTCTCACGTCGCTCTCTGACCGACATCTTCGATACAGCACGCCCGGAACCGACTCCGCCTGCTCGAAGGGAGAGAGAGATGGGATGCCCCCTCGGCCTTGGAACGCGGCGAGGACGAAGCAAAGGACTCGTAAAGAGCTGAAGAGCTCCATTTGGAAAAAGAACGGGCAAAAAAAACATGTTAGAAACAAAATTCTCTTGTCCATCCAATTGCCACACGAAGACAATGAAGAAAGTAAATGAAAGTAACTCATGTTAGCACAGGCTCCTATGGCGATCCATCCACCACCGAACTTGGGTAAATCGACAACATCACAACCGAAATGCAGGATGCCTCGCCATGACGAACCAGAGCGGGTTTCAACAGGTGGGTCCATCAGTTGCAGGCCGCAACCATTCACATGAAGGAAAATTCATGTGTAAAGAAACCAAAAAGAGACAATAATAGCACATAAACATCTACTTATATATATATATATAGTTGGCCTGATTGAAAGCGGTCCTCGTTTCGTTGATGCTCAGGGTACTTCGTACTGAAAACGGCACTTCGTCACCGCGACCTGAGGTGGTTTGGGTATAAAGTATTCTTCGGCACCGTGCCCCGCCTGCAAAGTCGCGCTGAGCTCCCTCCACACAAATGACCTAGGTTCAGAGCTCACTTCCGGATAGAAAAAAGGGAAGAGAACCTGACCAAACAGGGATAAATTGATGTGTCCAACCTTTCGAATCACACACCAACCCCGGAACCCTTCCGAACCCGACGTCGTCTTTATGCAAAAATGAAAGACGTCGTCTTTATCATCGCACCGCATCGGCTGCCTTTTTGTCCGTCAAGCAGACGTTCCGTTCGAGCAGACGCTCCAGCTGAATTGAAACGGGAAGCTCCCGTCGTCCCCTCGAGGCTGGTGGCTAGAGGCCGTCGTCTTCGTTCGTGAAACGATGGCGAGCTGCACAGACCATCATCGTCCAGGCCACCATCGGAGAGCTGATCACTAGCCTGACATCGCGACAAAAGTGGTAGAGGATGGTAGATGTCTGATCATGTTTGGCAGTAGTTCGTGCAAGAGGTTGCAAGGCATGCAAAGATTTCCAAACGCTTCTGGATGCATCAAGCAAGTGTTTCGGAAGATGTGTTTTTTCCATCTCTTGTCGCCATGAGGCTCTTTGACATACAAGACCATGAGCCCAACCGAAGGCACGGTCACCGCGACAAAGAGAACCACAAGGGCTGGAATGGTGACCTGGGTGATCAACTTGAAAGGAGAAAACAAAAGCCGCACAAACAGCACAAAAAGCTTTGACTTAACTGACTACTGTAATTATATCACTCTGTCTCCAAAAGGAGGGGAAGGATATTGGTATCATTGGTTGGAAGACTTGCTTCTCCCCAATCAATTGGTTACCGGTTGGTGTTTCGATTGGTATACCGAAGACCGAAGACCACCTCCATGTCGAAGCACCGGAAGCACCGTCACCTCTCACCCCGTCCGAGCCACGGCCCGGTCAGCGGCCCAGTCCAGCGACTCGAGCTTCAGGAGGCACGTGCAGAACACCTCCGTTCGCTGTCTCTCTTCCGCTTCGCCGCGCTCCGGTTCGGCGGGGTTTTGGGGGTGTTTTTCAGGGGGAAGATGACACCGTTGGGATCGTTCCCAAAGGCTAAATGGCTAACACGCCGAGGATGTTCTGAAGACAAAGGCCACGGACAAGTGTGCGCATGAGACTAATCAAGCTGAATCAGACTAATCGTGGTTAAATCAAAGTCAAATGAGGTCGAGAAGCAGCCACGAACGATGCCATGAGTGTGCCAAATTCCAACTTGTTCAAGAACTTGTCGTTGTACGGCTGCACAAAGGCGTGACAGGCAAGTGCTGTGCCTACCTGACAGCACTTCAGGGACCCAAACAAGCACCACTTACGCACATAGAGGTGTCGCAAAAAAGCAATCTTGTGCAGCAATGTGGCTGCGAGTCCAAAACTCTTATTCCCTAAGGAGTTTGTTAATGTTCAATGGTCAACCACGGTGACGGGGTTTTGATCCACAGCCATGTTGCGCAGTGCTAGGCCAAGCCATAATAATGGAAAAAAAACGGCATGAATCATGCAGTGCCAGAATGCGAGCCAAGCGACAACCATGAGCAAGTTCGAAAGGTAAAGCATAGGTGAGTACGTGGCTGAAAACGTCGCAATGACCACCGCCACTGCACATTTGCGCACCAACACTGTTGCTTCCCACCAACACACCTCGCGATTTGGCAGCTCGATTGAAGCAGCATTTCTTAAAGTGACAAACACCTATGCCGAGGTCGGACCCAAAAAGAACTAACCAAGCACAGTGAAGAGGGTGCCTTCTCCTTGTAGCCGGAAATGAGAAACCCCAGCGTAAGCTTGCGGTTTGGCCACTGCTTCGATTTCTGTACGACCATCAGCCAGTACACAGGACCCAGGAGAGCGCCCAGGGAAAAGGCAGACAGGATCGCTCCAATCCGCTGCGGGATCACATCGTGGCATTTTGTGGTCACATCGAACTGCAAGTAACGATGGCTCCGTTCCGGGTATTGGAAATGCATGCAGGGGAAGAACCGCATCAGCGCTGCCACCACATCCGGAAGGAAACAGTTGATGATGACGATGCTGGTTTTCAAAGCACCCTCCATCAGCCGCTGCATCTGCATTTCGGTCTCTTGAAGTTGCATAGACTGCACCAGCACCCACAGCACCGTCAGCACCCACAGCACCAACATTGGAGCACATGAGAGCCCCAGCCACGCCGTCATCGAGGCGCTTTCTCCGCCAAGCAAGCAATCGTAGCTTGGACCACTGATCAGCGTCGCCATGGATGCTGTTTCTCCACCTGCAACCGAGAAGGCCAAGCTCCAAACAAGGGCAAAGCTTCAGGTTCAGCCCGATATGTCGAAACTACGCAGTCACAGACATCCATACACATCAGTCATCCTTGCTTACGCCACAAGAAACTGATCAAACGAACAGATCAAACGTGCCTTACCGGGTCACTCAAAGACGGCATGTCACATCTCTACGGCATGTTTTGCCCAGCCTGTTTCCACAGAATCCTTTGCGAACTCGGCAAAATGGGCATGTACAGCCTCAACCCTGTGCGAGGAGGTGATGCTTGGTAAAATGGAAGCGACCACCACACCAAAGGCAAGCCAAATCTTCAGGAGAGAGCCCAGGCGACCCTTCTCCACCTTCTGCGCCGTCCAGAGGCTGACAGCATAGATGCCGGTCGGTTTGGCAACATAAGCAAGCCATTGAAGCCACGGTTTTCGGCATTTCTTACATTGAAAAGGATCCTCTCTTTGGCGCCCATAGGAAGCCGCACACCTGCGCCACGCAACCGCTACAGGCAACGGCGATATACGTTACATACGGCCAAGATATCAAATGAGAATGGCCTCTGTTAAGGCCGTGTCCAGGCAATCCATGTTGAGATGGGGAACTGATTGTCATGCTCCCTTTTCCAAACAGTGCGCCTGCTGCAACCTTCAGATTTCTCGTCATAGCCTTCCTTACATTGGTTTTCTTTCGTCTCAATGGCGTCATTGATGAAGGCCACTGAGTGGTTTGGACATGCCCAGGCATTCGGGCACAGGACTGCGCAGGACAAGTTGCCATGAGGACAAAACTTCTCTCCCGCAAGCATAAAGCCTGCGGAGCAGGCAAACTGGAAAGCATGAAGTTCAGCTAACTTCAGCTACATGAGAACGAGAGAGAGAGAGAGAAGGAAGGAAGGAAGGAAGGAAGGAAGGAAGGAAGGAAGAAAGAAAGAAAGAAAGAAAGAAAGAAAGAAAGAGGATGACTGGATGCAATCAAGTAAATCCTTGACACAAGGCTTGAAGAATCCATGGCTGCCTTGTGGGACCTTGATGGCCGTGTTGTTGGCACAGTCAAAAAGCTGGTCGACGTCCATGGACAGGTTCTGACCGGTTCGTTTGGAACGAACGAAGAGCGACTTGAAGAGCTGGTTGTGATTAAGTATTTGCGTCGTGTGAATGGCTTGCATGTCACTCTGTCTTGTTGTTAAATTCTTTTGAATGAGGACTACTATAGCTCCAGCTCCCAAAGCTCGACAAATCTTAAGCCCAGTAATGCCAAGAACCCGCAACTCCGTCCTTGCACTTCTCTACAAGGACTCTCTCTTGCCTTGCTATTCGCTTGATCTCTGCAGTTGCATTCTCGGCTTTGTCCTTCTCTTCCTCCGCTCTTTTCTTCTCTTCCTCCGCTCTTGTCTTCTCTTCCTCAGCTCTTTTCTTCTCTTGCGCAGCTTTCGCATTGGCCAAAAACAGCCCAGCGGCACCCGTCGCAAGAGCTTCTGGTGTCTTTCCATTTGAGTCGACAACCTCAAAGGATTCTTTTGTATTTTCATAGAGGAACTTGAGGAGATGTGATGCCCCCTTCCTCGCGCAAATGTGAGCTGGTGTCTGCTTGTGCTGATCTGTGGCATTGAGTCTGCCTCCACTTCTTTTTATAATTTCCTGACTTGTTTGCCATGTGTCAAATGACATTCTTCGTTGTTCCATGGTCTCTCTCCATATTAAATCAGGCACAAAGCCAGAAGAAGGAAAAAAGGAAAACAATCCTGTGCAGTGCAAGGAAGTATCCAAATAGCGCACGCTCTCGGGTTTGTTCTTCAGGAAATTACAAACCAAATGGGCGGGAGTGTAGCCCTGCTTGTCCGACACGTCGAAACCTCGGAAGAAATGCATGCTGCACCACACGGAACTACCCAAACAATGTCCGAACACAGCAACTTTTCCCCTGCAAACTGTTCATCTCGTGATTTCACCTTTGACACACAGTTTGCAGCTGGGAAAGGGGTCCGCACAGGCCAACCGCTCCGATCTGAGCTGCGCAAACCACTCCCAGCCTCTCCCAGCTGCCCAAACCTGTCCGAAATCTGAGCTTCGCACTGGCGCCGAAGTGTCCAAGTTTCGAGAGCGCTTGGATCTTCTGGCGCAAGACGGCCCAGTGGACGGGACTCAATCGATGGGCGTCCCGCGCGTTGAAATCCGCATGGTGATCCTTCAGGATCTTTAGGAATGTTCCATCACCCCCAAAAGCTGTGGCATAATGCACCAATGTCCATCCAGTCTTGCAGGTGACTTTGTACTTTTGCCTGCACTTGGCTGGGGAAGTTTCATTGGGATTGACTCCCACATCCAGCAGCTTCTCCAAACATCTTCCACATCCTTGCACTATTGCTTTCTCTGCAGGCGATTCCTGTTTGTCACTTCTGAGAGTCACTGCCACCCCAGATTTGATCAAGAAAGCCACTGCATCCACATTTTCAGATCGAATGGCTGGAAAGAGCAAGGTTTCTGCTTCGGCATTTCGGACGTTCAAGGAGATGTTCAATCCCACAAGGCAGCGCAACACGGCAATCCCGTTTCGTCCATCACCTTCTTCGAAGGCTGCTGATGCAAGCGAGAAGATCGACCGTGTCGTCAATACCGTTTCGTCCGCCGTGCCACGTGTCAAGTGGTCGCAGATCTCTGCCTCGCTCTTGCCTTGCACATGACCAAAAGCTTCTCCAGTCTCCCAGTAGACCCGGAGGGACAAACACAACGTCCCAATGTTGCAAAAAAGCAATGTCAGTGCGAGGATCATCTTTTGAATCTGTGATATGTAATGGCAAATTTGCCAAACCTACGTGGAGTACATCTTGAGCCTAAAGCGGAAAGTCGTGTTCTACAAGAACCTGCCCTCCTCTACAAAGGTTGTCATTTTAAAGCAAGTTTGTCCAGCCACGGTAAATGAACACAATCCAGTCAAGCACTTATCAACTGGGTTTGTCAGTTGTCATGCAGAGCTGCTAGGGGAGTTGTGAAACACCTGCTGAAAGCTTTCCGCGGCATCACACTCCCTGAAGTTTCCTGTTAGCTGTGCTCTGCAAAAAAGTCTTGCACTCGGCACCCACCCCGGAGCGCAAAGTTTCTTGTTGTGCTTCTGGATATGGAAAATTTGTTCCTGCTTTCTCTGGAACACTTTCACTCGAGTGACTTTCGATCTCGGTCTCACCAGCCTGTGATCGAATCGCAACTGACCGCGGTATATCTGAAGTGCTAGGCGCCCTGCTGCCAAGGGCTGCCAAGGGCTGCCAATGGCCCCACTTCCTCCGGATACACTTTGCTGGCTGCTGTCCAAATGCATTGCCCCCCATTTTGGAACTGCCCCAAACTTGCAAGTACCAGGTACCACATACTTAGCTTGCAACATTCACATGTTAAGTTGTACGTACGACTTCGGATGAAAGAAAAGGATGTACAGCTGCAACATGCTGCAACCAAACATTGAACAACCAAGCTTTGCGGACTGTGCACTCTGATAGGGCTAGGTTTGCCAAACAGTATCTGATTGAACCAACGACGGTAGAATGTAATTCTGCGAACATGCTGGGTCTGTTGCTGCATAGCTGAAATGGCTGGTTTTGGGGAAGAACCTCTCCACCTGCCAAATCGGGGGTGGGAGTGGTTTGCTCGAGCACGTTCACACTTGTATCTGATTCTCTGATGTGAGTAGTTACTGGTGTATTTTATGACGATGTGTATCATACCAAGACCAAGAAGCCTTGGAAGAAAGCTTGGCGAAACAGCTGGGTTGCATCTTATGGATCCAGCTTCTCTTCAAACTAAAATACTTCGAAGGTCTGCGATGCTTCTGCTGTTTCTTTGCCTCCTGCCTCTTCGCACCGCACTCACCTTAGAGTTTAGGCCGCCCAAACGATACCCAGGGATAAGTCTGCTAGTGATTCCAATTTTGAACCAAGTATGAATCAGCCAGACAAACCTCCACAGCAAGTGACCCTCGGTGAATCCCTTTTTCCCTGCGCGACACTGATGCGATCAGGTCTTGTGTATCCAAGATCTCGTCCAAAGAAGCGTCTTGATGTCAGCACTTGTCGCATCCACTTCGGACTGTGTGAAGGTGTCCAGACACTCTTCAGGGTAGAAACCACAGGTAAACTGCATCTCTGTTGAAAGACCTACAACGACTGTTGGCTCATGGGAAGTCATCAAGCATGCAGCGGGGGTAAAGGCCCCATGTTTGTTCCGGAGTTCTGTCTTGACCTTGCAATTCTTGGAGTCTTGCGCTTGAAATGGCACAAAGCCCAGAGCTTCCAGGCACTGTATATAGTATTTCGGAAACTGATTACGCACGGTCTGATCTCGACAAGCTGGTATCTCCTCGTGTCCATACCTCACGAAAAGGAACTTACCCCAGTCTTGACTTTCACCATCAGTTGGGTCTTGGCTTTCACCATCACCGCCTATTAGGTCGATGAAGCTGCACTCGGTCCACAGAGGGGTTGGTTTCCTTGGCACCTGGTACTCCTGGCATTGGATGCCCTTATCTTTTCTGGTCACAACGACCGTTCTGCTTCCAAAATGAGACTGGCTTGGCTTCTCACTGCCCATGCATTCACCAATAGTGCGGACAGGCTTCGTCGTCGCGCCGCACCTGGGTGGGCCACCAGCACCCATCCCTTGCGGATCAAACTGGTCTAATGTGACCTTCCTGAAATTGAGCAAGCTCAAGCATTCCAAGAAGTCTTGATCATCCAGGTCTGCCTTGGTGTCACATTTTAAGAATGACCAACCATCGAAGTCCACATCCAAGAGCCCATGACCCGGTCGCTCGGCAAGCGGTACTGCCACCAGCTGGAGCAGGAGAAAGACACGCATTCGCACGGAAATGGAAAGACACGCAGAAAAAGAGCCCTGCCTTTTGAGCCCACAAAACATGCAAAGTCACTTTCGAGTGGTCCAGCTTTATGCTCAACATGCCCGGACATGCCCTTCATCCCATGGAAGGAAAGCGCCGGATCTCTGAGAAAACAGAAAGAAGGAACAAACGTCTCGCATGTCGAGAGTGAAGAGTGATCGGGATCTTTGACTCCCTCATGCTGGGGCACAGCTGCGATGCGACACCGGCTGCGCCACACGGTCTTGTGGAGCCACCCTTGGCACCTTGCCACGGAAATCGGCATGTTTCGGAAGTAAACAACTCACAGAGATCATTTCATCTTCGATCAAGAAAGTTCTTCTCTAGAACGGACCAGAAAGAACACCTCGCTTTTGTTCATGATGGTTGATTGAAATGTTGGCGCATTGCTCAAACACGGCTTGTAGCAAGAGAATGACTGGCCATGGCAACCATTCAGCAGGCAACGTAAACATCCCACACATTTCTTGGTAGCTGAAAACTTAGCCAGTCGTGTTACCTGTAATTACAGTGTGACAAGATTATTCTTCTGTCGCTCAGCTGAAATTGAAAGGAAAGTCCGTGAACATCCTACCTTCCCAGCAGCATTCATTGTGATTATCGTTCAATCTGGAGAATGGCAGTCCATTGATCTGCACGCTTTGACAAACGAGATCCGTTTCCATTTGCGTCCGCCGGGCGGGGTGAGCTGCGGCACTTCTCTGCCGTGCAGGGCGAGGAGGAACTTGTTCATCCCTGGGCGGAAGTTGTTTCTTTCTTTTGGGGGCAAAAACAAGAACTGGGGAAGCGAGGACAGGTGGTTCCCATTTGAGAGGACCTCCTCCTCCTCTTGGGGAAGCGATCCCAAGAATCCCATGCAAAATGACTTTTCTTCTCTACTGGGATCAACAGAGATCATTCGTTTTGGAAGTGGTTTTGGATTTCCATTTGGATGGCTTGACACATTCATCCCCATTGGCTTCCACCAGCCTAGGCCCTTCCGGGCCCCCGGGCGTGGAGGGGCGGGTGGATGGACACGCGCGAGACTTGGATCTGTCAGAGATCACTGGGGGGAGATGATTTACTTAGATGGATCAGGATTGGAGTAGAAGTTGCTTGTCAAAAGCCAAAGATGCACCAGAAATCTTCAACAATACCTCACCATTCGGATCAGAGGTTTAAGATATATGGTCTCATCGTCCTGGTATTCAGCGTCAGTTGGACTTGTCAAATCTGTGAGGACAAACTCGGGATGCCAGCCTGTGTGATCTGATGGGCAAAGCCAATATTGAAAGGGCCAACCTTTGACCTTGCGACAGTTGCGTTTGAGGTGGTTTTTGTAAACTCCATCCAGCAAATTGATGCAAATCCAAATGAGTTGACTGAGTACAATTCATCTATACCATCGAGGAGCAGCTGCTGACATCACCATCGAGGATCCCACTTGCAGCACGTACTGGTGAAGTGACTGTGGCATGTTGGGACGGCACCGGCTCGACCAACTCAGCTCCGACGTACCACGAATCACGAGGAACTCCGAGGAACCAATGAGTTTTTCTTCAAAAATTGAATAGTGAATAGTCTTAATCAATGGTTGTCCCATCGAAAAACATAATCTGCCAAGACCAAAGCACCTTGCACGAGTGCTTGGTCACAGGGGCCACGACAGGCTCTTCATGGCGGTGAGCCAAGCAAGTACCTTCAGGAGTGCAAAAAAGGACATAAAGGAATATGAAGGAGAAGAATTTTGCCATCACAAGTGCAGAGAAACCAACTGATATGTGCCATGACCAAAGCCAGAAATGACATCTACTAGGACCAAATGGATGGACCAAGGCACCGACGCCCATCGGTCATGGCACCCAGTTTGTCACACCATGTCTTTCAAACGGAACAAGTCTGGGTGTACAATATGGAACACTCCATGTCTTCGGGAATATAAACGGAAGTGCATCAGAATAGGAATAGGGTCACCTTGTATTGTCTTCTTTTCATGTTTCGACTGTTGAGGGTCGTGCTAGTCTATTCTTTTCAACGTGAGAGCTGCTTACCTGCATACCATGAGACAAAAAGGTTGGGTGCTGATCATCCACCTTGGCCCACTCACAGCTAAACCACGGAAGTGTGTTTCATTTGATAGGAAACCGTTCACTCACTGTGGGAGGTTGAATTGATGTAGACTGAAATGAGTTGAGTAGAGGATGGCATCTTCCAAGCATGCAGCACTCGCCCATCTGTGAGTTTGGGCGAGGAACTGACGCATTGATTGGAAGTCGGCTGTCTGTGGATGAGGCATCCTGTGTACGGGGGGAAGGAGGGCCAAGAGTCCACAGCGGTTCCACGGTTCCGCCAAGCGCCCAACAGCCGAGACGCGGCGGTTCCGCCGGGCAGCCCACCGACGCGTCCAGTAGGTTTCGGCGTCGAAAGGAAAACACCACACGCCACACGTCGTTTTGCCGTACGTCCGTTGTTCAACACACCCGGGCATCTTCACGTCAGCCACCGACACCACTCAGCCACCAACCGGCACGTCTCATGTGCGTGTTCTGGGGGGTTTGGGCAACATGACCTGGAGGTGGGCAACGAACTAAAAACAGTTCCCCCTCGTCTTTTTGGTGTTGAACATCCCCCCAAATTGGTTCGTGGTATTTTCTGCTCTCATTGAATGCCTCCGACATTCAGGTCTCGGACGTCGTCGTCTCGGAGATTGGGGTCTCAGATGAAGCCAAGGCAGCCAAGGACATGTTTCCTCGTGTCAAATCTAGAGAAGGAAGGAGCTCTTACAACGTAGTTTAGTTTAATTTGTGTCGGCGAGCCCAAGGTCAATGTGCTATCAGACATGGGTTTCTTGGACATTGATGTCAGGGAGACTGTGGTCTCGGACATGATGTTTTGGACATTGAAAGAGGTGATTTGCGACACCTGATGGAGTTGGTTATTGAATGCCTCTTGGGAGTATGGAAGGCGTCTTTGGTCAGTTTGCTGTTATCCAAACTTAAAAGATGTCCTAATGCGCTTTTTGATCCAAGACAATACGGGTTCACACGTGTGCTCCGTGGGCTAAGGGTTTGGTATGGCTGGCTGTCGGAAAAACATGCTTCGAAAATGCAAAAATTAAACCATAAAATGCTGATGATGCACGCCGGCATGGCCTGTTGCACTAGAAGCAAATGTATTGAATATTGCAAATATGATTTCTGTGTTTGGTGTCTTTGTTAAAACACAAATTCATACAACTTCAAACAATGTTTTGACTCGGTGGGGGCTCGCACAATCTGTCCTCGACCGTCTGGGGCCAAGATGTGAACGATGCACCCTGGTCTGCCCAGCGCTTCTGGCATTCCAGGTGTGGGTGAGCGGGTTGGTTGCAAGGATCCGGGACCACAAAGGTCAAATGGTGTCGGGTGCGGACACCCGGTGACCACGCCTTTTAAACAGTCACCCCACAATGAACTTTTCAGCACGGCAGCGTATGCACATCATTCAATGCACATGTGGAACGAGATGGATCCATTAGAGTTTAAATTTCTGTGATACGCTTGGAGGCAGGGGAGCTTTTTGCATCCATGCCACCTTTCTGTGTTTTGTCTCCTTCGTTGCAAGGTTTAGGGAGAGCCATGTCATGCTTAACGCTTCCTGTGTTCACACCAGGATCTGGTGGCCAACTCCCAATGTCGAGAAGGACATGATCGGGAATCACTGATGCCTCCATTGGTGGCCATTGCCACTCCCATAGACAGAACGAACCTTGCATACATATCACCAGAAAATGCCAGTGCAAACAGCACTCACAGTCCTGACAAGCCGAGCCAATTTGTGTGCCTTTCGTCTGAGCACCTTTGCTGATACTGAGCGGACCTGGCTGTGAGCCTTAGCTCCCGGCCGAAGTCTGCCGGGTGGTAGTAAAGGCGTAGACGGTTGGCACACAGGCGAGAGCCTTAGCTCCTGGTCTGTGAGGAAAAGCCAATCATGTACAAAGATGGCCAATCTTGTACAAAGATGGCACAAGAACCATGCTAGGATAGGTCTTCAGTTTCACCTGTCTCACACGGGCCTTGCATGTAACAGGATGGTGTCTCTTCGAGGGCACCAGTTCATGGATGGATGATTCACCCCTCTTTGGCACAAGTTTGAGAGCCAAGGGGTGCAAAGATGACCTCCTTGTGGGAGGGAACGCAGCGCCTTCGTCAACAGGCCTTTCGTTTGCTTTGCCTCCACCGCCAGACTCGAGATCTGCCTCTCACTTCGTTCGCGCAATCAGTTGTATGGGTTGTACTGCGAAACGGGATTTTTCCTTGGCTAGCCTGGCACTGCAACAACTGACTTCCTTTGGCAAGAATCAGTACTGCTGACAGTCATGATGAGCCCCTGGCTAAAAGCTGCTATACCCTGACTGCCACTCGATGCAGTGGCCATGTGGTCACGTTTTGATGATACAACGAAGCCACATTTGATTGGCTTCGCTGGCTCTTCGCTCGCGCACAGATGCACTTGGCAGACTTCGTAGCGAATTCAGGCCCTTAGATAGTATGCAGCCAACTTTCTCACTTGTCTCACCTCCGTACAGAGGAAACACTGTCAGCTATGATGGGGAATCGGCCTCTGGCCTTTGGTGGTTTTGGTTGCGTTTTGGTTTGTTGTTTTTGTTTTGTTCTGGTTTGGGTGTTTTCTGGTGTTTTATTCCCCCTCATCATGTGGTGTTTCCTTTCCTTTCAACGATGACCTGGGCACACCGCCCACATGGCGTCCGTACTCGTGGAAAAAAATCTGTGTTTTGTCTCCTTCGCTAATGGAGGTGATTGTCTCTACCGGTGTCTCTTCCTCAGATGGCTCCGTATCATTGTTCTGAGAGCAACCATTCGGCGCATCCACACGCTGATACGCGCTAGAGGCCATTCGGCGGGCAGATTGGCATACAAACTGAGAGGAGGCGCCATGGGTGGTTGGTCCGGCCCGTCAGGCGCTTGCTCTGCTGCTGTGGGTGGTGCGGTTGGTTCAGATTTTTTTTCCACGAGTACGGACGCCGTGTGGGCGGTGTGCCCAGGTCATCGTTGAAAAAGGAAAGGAAACACAACATGATGATGGGGAATAAAACACCAGAACCACCCAAAACAGAACAAAAATAAAAGGACCGGATAACCCCACATGATAAGTTTTACAAATTTCAACTGTATATGAACATCACTTGGGAGACGGAGTAGTGAGATGAAAAGTCAAGAAGGAAGTGTGAGGCGGTTATGCTCAGACGTGCAGTATAAGTGATGATGTGATGGACGAGGATGAGAAGGAGGGGAGGGAGGAGGTGTGTGTGTGTGTGTGTGTAGTGAGATGGCGTGCGTGTGTGTGTGGGTGAGGCTGTGGATTTTGCCATCAGATCCGCATGCGACCTTCAAAACGTAACACACTCGAAACGACCATCAAAGCTATCAAGTGGTCTCATCCCGACCACGGCGGGCAGTGTTAGCAGGATGTAAAGCAAGAAGAGGTGAGACACGCTTTTTTCTCTCACGCAGAGATGTAGAGTGAGCTCCAGGCAGGACCTGAGCTCCGGTCAACTCGCACGAACAGTGAGTATATATTTGCAACACTGAAGGCGGAGGCTAGCACAAGACATCAGAAGTGTCGATGTCAGAAACGAACTTGGTCAGTGTCAATTCTTTTGAGAAACGAACTCCGTCAGTCGTTATGCAACGCAAGGCAGCGTTGTTTTCGATTCTTTTCGCAGCAGTGCATCGTCACAGTCTGTCCAGCTCGTCACGTCGACTCGCCGGCATGCTAGCTCACAGTTCTTGAACTGCAGCAAAAATGCGAGGTCTTACAAAGGAATTTAGGTTCTTCTCCCAAGTACGCAATGCCCAGAAGACATGCGGCCGATGCTTCCAGGGGTGAAGCGTGGGACGGGCCGTCAACAAGCTCTGCACAGCCGCTTCCGCGGAGAGCTGACGACGAAAGATCAACCACGCGCACAATGCCGCTGAGCTGCGCTTGACCCCGCCGAAGCAATGAAAGAGGATGCCTCGTTCTTCTCGCTGAGTCGTTGCCTTCAAGTGCTTCAGAAGAGCGCAGCACATGTCCATCCACGATGACAACCAGGCATTTCCCACTTCTTGACAAAAAGTATTGGTGTCATCCAAGTATGTTCTGGGATCGTCCACGTCGAACGTAAACCACCGAATCTGGAGATCTTCAAACCACGCTTTCCAGCCCACCTCTGGCTGTCCACGAATACGTTTCATCTCCCGCGGACAAAAGCTCAAGACAACCGACACCTTGCGATAGGAAAGTGGGACAGTTTCCTGGTGAGTCCGGAGATGGCGACAGGCAGCCAAGCTCCCGAGAAAGTAGATCTCAGGCGGTTCCAAAGACATCATCTCCCCAGGAAGTATTTCACAGATGTCATTTGGCCAATCTGAAATATCACCGAAGTGATACTGGTGCGCTGCCAAAAGCCGGTCGAGTGGTGGCTGATCCTCGATCAGCATGTCCAAACTGCTCTCAATCATCCGTTGCAAAGCAGCGCAGGCAGCAGACATCGCATCGTCGTATGGCTCCATGTTGTGATGATCTCTTGACAAACCAAAGCACATCTGTTCTAGACGTATATGTATAGATTCGGAAGTTCAACAAAGTTCGTCACGTCGCCTTTTTTGACGATCTCTCTACAAACCAAAACCAGCTCGAAGTTCAGCACGCAAATAGAACTCCACCATCAACCAAAAAGGTTAAGGCCCAGACCTGGTAGCAGCATTGTAGCATTGGTCTCCGCGAAAATCCGACTAGAAAAGGCAAATATACAATCGGCTGCGAACGCCTTCTCTCCGTTCTCATACACAATGGCAGTACCGCGCAGAGACAGTTTGCAAGCATCTTTGCCACAGCCATTACAATGCGATTCGCATGCAGT